CTCGAACGCCTTCATAATTTCAATAAACTCAAGTGTCGGCCGAAATCATAAGTCAACTCTCAAGGCAGCCTCATGAATAGTAATATACCCAGAAGGTGAGGAATATGATCGATCAGTTGAAGTCGGTAATTTCACCACCATATCATTCGGGAAGAAATACTTCTTTTGCAAAAAGAAGAAATCACTCTCTGTCACAGTTGACACTGCATCTTCTGGGTTCTAACTTTTCCTCTGGTTCTCAGCAGAACGAGGTTCTCAAGTTGTTGTCATTTTAGTAACGTTTCGCAGCGACGTTTCCCTGCAACGCTTTGTCGCGAAGCTTCACAGCAACGGTTCACCGCAACATTTGCCGCGACGCTTTATCACGTCGCTTCGTCGCTACTTGTCACAAAAAATTTGCATCGAAACACTTTGTCGCAACTCTTCGCCGTAACTCTTTGCTTCACCGCAACTATTCTATCGTAATTCTTTTCCGCAACGCAGGATGATATTCTTCTTCTCCTTAATTGTGATTTTTTCCATCATCCTATGTCTCTATTTATAAACATGATATGAGTCATAACAATTAAAAAAATTTGCTGCTCATTAACAAAAAAAATGGTAGCTCATTAAAATAAAAAATGACAGCTCATTAAAAAAAACATAGCTGCTCATTTAAAAAGAAAGAAAAAAAAACGGCAGCTCATGAAAACAGCGGCTCATAAAATAAAAAACTACAGCTCATATATATATATATATATTGTTCACATATGTGATTCTCCGCTACCCGGGATAAGCCCGCCGGGTCACAGGTCCATCGACCCGTGGGGTCTCGCTTGGCCTGCCAGGTCAGCGGCCCTGTTTACAGAGCCGATAAATTTTTTTTCTTTTTATTTGTGAGATTCGAGCCCCACCATCTGCAAATGACAAAAGACACTTACCAACTGAGCCACCGTCGGTCGTCGTCGACCACCGTCGATCGTCGCTGACCTCCGTCGACCACCGCTAACCAGAAACCTTCAGTCGACGTTGTAAATTGGAAAATCTTGTAACTCTTTCCAGTATGTGAGACAAAAGGTTTCTATAATCATCCATTTATAGTGGAATTTTTATTATTGGGTCATGCCCCGTGATTTTTTTCCTCTACGAGTTTTCCATGTAAAAACTTCTGGTATCATCACATGTTGATTATCTTTCATCTGAGTGTGTGTTGAATCCTCGTGCAACGCTAAGACGATAATCCATTACTCTACCGCCGCAAATTTTCTAGCACGCATTAATATATATATGAAAACACATTTAGAATCATATTAACAGACAGAGACCGACGTATGTATGTCCTCACAGAATTTAATGATTGAAAAAAATTCAAACCCAGGTGAGGAATTTTTTAAAAACGGTTTATTTAAAAATAAAGATATTAGGTATTGATTTTCACATGCGTTGGTTAAGTAGGTATTTAGATACTAAATTTATTTTTTTAAAAGTAAAATTCAAAAGTTCCTTTATTTTTAAAGAACATTTAAATATGCCGTTTTAAAGGATTCATCAATATGTAGTATGTATGTAAACGCCCCTTAAATATTTATGAATATCAGCAAGTTCTAAAAAAAAATTTTTACAGCACTTAATTAAAAGCATTTTTAAAAAAAAAAGCTTCTAAAAATATTAAAAAAATATAACAAAATATTTAAAACCGTTGCTAAAAGTCTTTGTAGTCCTAACAATCGCAGAAAATAGTAGGGTTTTTTACTGCAATGTCTGATTGCATAAAATACCACGAATATATTTTTTTTGGTGGTAACATCTCATGCAATATAAAATTTGAATATGTGGGTTAGAAATTTGCAAATTCATTGCAAATAACTAGAACAAAGACAATATGCTAATGACAACTATAATTTTATTTCTCTATCTGTTGATTTGAAATTAATAAAAAATTGTGGCCAAACACTTAAACTACATTTTATTTTTAGAACTTGAATAGATATGTAACCAAAATTTCATCATGGTGACCAATAAAACACTTAAAAAGATTTTAATTTAAGAAATTAAATAATTTAATTTTTTTTTTTCCGGTGAGTTAAAGAAACATATGTTGCGAATATGGAAACCGATCCACTGTCTAAATTGACAGTTTCTCATGCTTGGCAGCAAATTGAATTTGAAACTCGCAATTAATTGCAAAATTCATTATTTTTAATTCATTCCCTAGATTTTATAAAGCTTTCCTTGCATTAATCACGTCTTCTATGATTTGCTGCAGAAAAGAAAAAGAAATAATTAATATGTTTCATTAATTATTTGACTAATTCTTTAATGATCCTAATAGCATGATGAAATTAATAAATATGCATGTTACACCTCCCCTCGTAATCTCTCTCGGGCGTTGGTTTTACAGGGAAATGAACCGCTTGCTTGCTACGGCTTCCAATGTTGGCTCGTTGCTATGCCTAAGGGAAGAAATAAATCACAAGAAGTTGTCTTTTTTGTTTCTTACTCCATGTGGCTTGCAGGTAGAGAGAGAAGGGGGGAGAGAGAGAGAGAGGAAGAGAGAGATATATTTTCTTGTAATCATCGAGGTGATCGACGGGTGTAATCCTCAAACTAATGAAATTCTCTGTAACTTCGTGGACATAGACAATTTGCCGAACCACTTAAATATGTGTGTTACGCTATGTTTTTTGTTTTACCATTTTTCTCGTTCCAATTTTCGCTTTATTTTCGTTGTTTTTCACAACAACTAGTATCAAAGCCGTGGTTTCGGATATAATGAAGAACGATGGGCGGAGACGAAGTGATGGTATCGAGGATAGAAAAGTTTAATGACACAGATTTTAGTTACTGAATGATGCAGATATATGACTACTTCTATGGGAAGATACTTCATATTCTGTTACTGAGAAAGCAACCATTGAAAATTGATGAGACTGATTTGAAATTGTTGGATCGATAAGTTCTGTGAGTTATTCGATTAACCCTGTCAAAATTTGTTGCGCACAACGTCATCAAGGAAAGGACTACTGCAGATCTCATAGATGTTTTATCAAGTTGTATAAAAAGTCATCGACGAATAACAAGGCGTAATTGATGAAAAAGTTATTTAACTTAAAGATGGCGGTATGTGTGTCTGTTGCTTAACACTATAATGATTTCAATACTATCATAAATCAATTGTCCTCTATTGAGATTTATTTTGAAGATGATATATGTGCGCTGATATTGTTGATTTTGTTGTCAAATAACTGGGAAGTCATGAAGTTGGTAGTTAGCAATTCTGTAGATAAATTTAAACTGAAATATCATAATATTTGTGATTTGATTTTGACTGAGAATGTGTGCATGAAAGATTATGACGATACATGGGGTTCGAGTTCGACACTAAATGTTGATTTTAGAGGGAGAGCACAAGACAAAAACTCAAACAGAGGAAGATCAAAATCAAAACACGGGCGCAAGTGCAAGTCAAACATGCTCAGCATGCAATCTATTGAAATTATGACAAAGCTGGCCACATAAAAAAAATTGCAAAAATTCGAAGAAGACTGAGAATGATGGTGCTAATGTTGTAACTTAAGAAGTACATGATATACTATTGCTAACAATTCATAGTTATATTGATAATTGGATACTTGATTCAGAGGCTTCTTTCCATACATCTTCCCACGAGAAGTTGATGTGAAACTATGTTGCAGGGGATTTTGGAAAGGTATATCTAGCTGACGGAAAAGCTCTGAACATGATGGAAATGAGAGACGTTGATATTGCACTCTCAAACAAGAGAAAATTGACTTTACAAAAGGTCAGATACATTTATTAGTTGAAGAAAACCCTCATTTATGTTGGGCAGCTCAATTTGGGCGGTTCTTCAACAGTGTTCTCAGATAACATCTGGAAGATTACCAAATGAGCATTAGTACTGGCTCAGGGTAAGAGAACTGACACGCTATATATGATTGCAGGTTTACTCAGGCTTAGTCACATAAGTCAAAGGGGCATGAAAGAACTGAAGTCAGTTGATCTCATCGTGTATGAGAGTTACATTATGGAGAAGCAGAAGAATATCAGTTTCTTAAAAAGTGGCGAAGCGCCAAAGGCAGGAAAACTGAATATTGTACACACAAATTTGTGGGGACCTTTTCGAGTAGCATCTCTTGGTAGCTCTTGTTACCGTGTCACATTCATTGATGACCATAGTAAAAAAGATAAGGTTTGTTGATCTACCAGAGGTCACAGTGCAGGGAAATCAGACATGGGAGCTAAAAGAACTTCCACTAGGGAAGAAGACATTGCACAACAAGTGAGTGTACCGAAAGAAAACTGAGTTTGATGACAGTAAGAGGTACAAAGCTGAAATTGTTGAAAAAGGCTTTCAACAGAGGTTGGATTTTGCCCATGTAGTGAGAGCTGTAAGCAGAAACATGGTAACCCAAGAAAAAAGCTTGGAGGTACAAGACTATGTTTACGATAATATGTCGACTAAGGGTGTTGCTCTTAAGAAATTGAAGTTGTGCGCAGCTTCAGTTTATCTTCTAGTTTGAAAACATGAGCTTTGAGTTGTAGAGGTAGAGGATATCAAGTTTGAAGAAAAGGTGACGCAGCCAGTGGATGATGCAGCTAGTGTACGAATCTTCAAGTTGGAGAATTGTTGCAAATATGAAAACCGGTTCACTCTTCAAATTGACAGTTTCTCATGTTTGGCAGAAAATTGGATATGATACTTGAAATTAATTACAAAATTAAATATTCTTAATTCATTCACTAAATTTTCTACAGCTTTCCTTGCATGAATCTTGTCATCTATAATTTGTTGCAGTGGAGAAAATGAAATAATCAATGAGCTTCATTAATTA